TTTCAAATATAAAAAAAATAACGTATGAAATACTGAATAGTTTGTATTGTTTATTTCATGATGATGCCAACATTTTCAGGATGTTACATATTCAATACAATAAAGTCTTTTAAAATCATTAAGTGTTAACATATCAAGAAAACTCGACTTGAAACATAAAACAGTCTAGTTGAAATTGATGTATAATTAATTCTTTGATGTTTATGTGTTTAGCTTGACACATAAAACAATCTAGTTGAAATTCATGTATAATTAATTCTCTGATGTTTCTGTGTTTAGCTTGACAGGTACAAGAGTGTTGTTGCAGTGGAGGTCTAATTAATACATTAATGTTTATGTGTTTAGCTGGATACGTACAAGAGTCTGGTCGACCAGTGTGTACAGGGAGAGGGAATGGTACAGATCAACCTAGAGGTGAAATCACAGCCAGGTAAGGATTAAACCCAAGGCTATTGGTCAGTTATAGACAGGTAAGGATTAAACCCAATGCTATTGGTCAGTTATCGACAGATAAGGATTAAACCTAGACCAGTTGTCTGTCATATAATAGACAGGTGATATAAAGATTAAACCAGGGCTATTGGTCAGTTATAGACAGGTAAGGATTAAACACTGACCAGTTGTCTGTCATATAATAGACAGATGATTTAAAGATTAAACCAGGGTTATTGGTCAGTTATAGACAGGTAAGGATTAAACCAGGACTATTGGTCAGTTATAGACAGGTAAGGATTAAACCCAGACCAGTTGTCTGTCATATAATAGACAGGTGATATAAAGATTAAACCGAATACTATTGGTCTGTTATAGACAGGTAAGGATTAAACCCTGACCAGTTGTCTGTCATATAATAGACAGGTGATATAAAGATTAAACCCAATACTATTGGTCAGTTATAGACAGGAAAGGATTAAACCAGGACTATTGGTCAGTTATAGACAGGTAAGGATTAAACACTGACCAGTTGTCTGTCATATAATAGACAGGTGATATAAAGATTAAACCCAAGGCTATTGGTCAGTTATAGACAGGTAAGGATTTGGGGATAAGGGTCGGGAAGTAGCATGTACATTACTGTAGATCACTATGTTATTATACCTACTGACGGGTCTCCCTTAAGTATAAAGGCAATTTGAAAAAGAAAAAACACAGGAAGAACTAGGTGAAAGGGAACAAGAAAAACCCTTGAAGAACTAGGTTTAAATGACATTTCTTCTTGGCAAGTTTGCAAAATGAATCATTATGTTGACTTTCATAATTACAAGTACCAACTGTATTTATAAAATGTGTTAATGTGGCACATGTGGTGTTAGGAATAATAACTGTTATTTCTACTGTTAATCTCTCTTAAATATGCAAGGAAATGAACCATAAAGGTGCAGAAAAAATACAGAAAGGACCATTCTTCCTGGCTATTTCCAAAATGAATTGTCAATACATTTACTTTTACAATATACCAGTGTATACTTCTAAAGATGTGTGTGAATTACTACCTGGAGTCACTTCAAAACATTGTTGAGCTTGCTGTTTGTATGTTTGTATTTACCTTGTGTTAGCAGGCGTTAAACCAAAGATCAACATTGTTGATATACTCAAGCCCGCAGATGAGATAGAACCACAGGTGGAACAAGGTAAATAAAGATAAGATATTATTATTTCTTCTTTTTTTCTTTCTTCAGAAAATGTATGAAAAAAATATCATTAAGGAGTCATTTTTTAGCTCACCTGGCACGAAGTGCCAAGTGAGCTTATGCCGTGGTGCGGCGTCCGTCGTCCGTCCGTCCGTCCGGCGTCCGGCGTCAATATTTTACTTTAAACGACTTCTTCTTAATAACCGAAAGGCCTAGGGTGTCGATATTTGGCCAGAAGCAAACTGGGATGAAGGGCTACAAAGTTTGTTAAAATTAATGACCTTCACCCATTTTCAAGGTCACAGGGGTGAAATATGTTAAAAACTTTAAACATCTTCTTCTTGATAACCAAACTTCCCAGGGAGATGATATTTGGCCAGTAGCATGCTTGGGTGAAGGGCTACCAAGTTTGTTCAAATGAATGACCTTCA